AAAAAATGAGAGGCTGTGGTGAGAGGCTGTGCAAGCAAGTTCGGTGCGTTGATAGCCTCTACACCACCAGTGGCCATTCGCTGTCCTGCCAGGGTGGGCAGAAATCACCCTGGCAAGGTCTCCCTGGGGAGACCACCGGCTGACCCGCCTGTACCCTGCCAGGGTCACTGCTCCCACACCCTGTGCGTACCTGTGTCAAGACCCGGGGTATGACACGGCCTGCTGAAGCGTGGGCGGGACGAAGCCCTCCGCAACAACTGTGTACTGTAGAAATGTGTATTATAGTGTCGAGGTGCCCTTTACCCAAGGGTCGTTTGTTTGTTGTTGTTGTTTCTCTCACATTAGCTCTATAGTCCACAAAATGAGGAGGCCGTGGTCGCAAAACCCGGCACACTGTCTGTAGGCGGTTCCTTCGTGCAGTTCCAGACAGAAGAAGTCTGTATGATGTACAGACCGAAGTCTTTGCAGACCGAAGTCTGTTGATGCAATGACAGAAGAAGTCGATGTTGTTTGTTGCTTAGTGCCGCTTCTGGAACTTATACTTTCTCTCTTCTTCAGCTTACTTGCAGAGGAGAAGAGATGTTGAGGGATAGTTGGGAGTGACCCCGGTGAGGCTCGCAACACGTCGTGATCTCGCTACAACTACAATCCTCTGATCAACCATAAACTCTTGAGCTCCTCGATAGAACTCGTCCCTACATGTTACATTCTGCCAAAACAAACGTCACATACGATACAGCAAGTATCACATCGCATCTTGTACGTATCATTGCATACTTTCTTGTTGGGCCCGTTACCCACAGGGGAGATATCGCTGTGTGCTGCTCGGGAAATCGTGGACATATAATAGGTAGCCTTCGCTGACGCTATGGATTCATTGCTAATCTATCTTAGACTCTTTCTCTTAGATACGTAGTCTAGAGATGGATACGTCATATTACTAAACAGGAAAATAATACCGGTGAAATAAAAAATCATACAGGCAGCTGCATCTATTACTGCACACATCCCACAGCAGCAGTAATAATGCGCTGTATTTCAACAAACTGTACTGCTCTAGGCAGGTACAACAACAACAACAACTGCTCTAGGCAGGTAGTAGTTTGTTTTAATATTTTTTTTCCCACGGCGAAATTCCGCCATGAGCAATGTCAAGCGCCGTTTGTACTCATTAATTAAACATTCGATTTTCGGTACATAGTGACACGCGTATTTAGCAATCCCTGAAGGCCCTTCCTTGGTGAAGACTCACTTGTTGATCCATCTCTTTGGATAGCAGTGCATGCTGATTCCTTGCTCTCTGGGGTAGACTGAGCATGTGGGGGCAGACCAGCTCCCTCTACATTGTAACGGAGGCTACAAAGGTCCTGTCCCCTGCTTTATCCTTCAATCGGGAGTTACATCTCCACTTTTCCTCTGGACATTAGCCCGCACTACTACCGTTGGTACATGTACCCATACATTCAAATCCCATAACACTAGCCCACCCTGGAGGTTCTCATACGCAGATACTTAATCTCGGGACTTGGTAATTACTTGTCGAATCCCAAAACGAGAGTATCGAGGATGTGGAGCTCCAAAATACTACCATTCACCTTCCTCCCGACGGATTTATTTCCGCTTCGCCGCGCGGCCGTCTCGACGGTCTCCGTTGGTACTTTCCTACACACACAAACATGTTTTCTGCAATCAATATGTTCCTTCGGCGGTCACGTTGTAGGTAATTCCTTTGTCAAGAGTTCGAGCAGCAGAATACACCTTCGAGACTGCCGCCGGACGCCTTCTCGAGAATGAACATGTTCAAGGGTAAACCCTGACAAGATCGTATAGGACATCGCGATGAAGCACATTTCACCCTACGTTGAGGCAAGTTGAGGATGGATATGGATGGGTGAGTAAAGCTTCGACATGGGTTGCGTTTTTCCATTTGGTGGGCCAGTACTACTACTGCCGCCTGCCATACGGCCGGGTCTCACTTAAGATTTCTACACACACCCTGGATTGATTTAAACGGTCGAAAGTTTGGGGAAACCCCCAACAACAACCGCCAAGTTCAAAATGCCAAGCACGAGATCATGGAAGTAATTGCAGAAAGTTGTGTTGACGAAAAGGAGAGCCTCCATGATGACCGAGGTGGAAAATAAACGTAAAAGGAAAAACAAGGAGCATTTATTTTGGCGCATGGAATATCCAGGACAAGACTTACGTGTGGTACTCGGAGTATGTAAGAAGCGGGCTGAATAGGCGGGAGGTGATATCGATAGGATAGATATGGGGTAAAGAAAACATGTTTGAATCGCCTTTTTTGGTATCGTACGAAGAAACGAACGACTGGCCATCGGTGATCGGTCCTATGTGGAAAATTCTCCGGCTTGTAGAGGGCGCGTGGTCAATAGTCTGACAATTAAGGCATGCGAAACATGAGTAACCTCCTCCCCCCTCGCCGCCGGGTTGTTGTATCGTGTCATCACATACGACGATTGTTTTACACCCTGGACTGATTTCAGAGCTCCCATCAATGCACTAATAAACAAATAACCTCCGCCCCCCAACTAGGCCTTTGTATCGATAGACAAACATACCCGCGGACACCAACAACGCCAAGTTTGGCATCTACTCTATAGCTCTTCGTCCTGCACTCGTACAGGTTTTCGGCGACGATAATTTGTAAGGATATTGCTCCTGACGATGGGCAAGAAGAGGAGGTAGTTGTCAACGGAAGGTAGAGGCCGGAAGAACGCACGGGAACGGCAGCAACCACAACGAATGGGCAGAGGAGGAAGTAAATGGGGACCTTGCGAACGGATAAAAAAAGGCGGAGACCGGGCGTAACGAAAGAAAGCGACAGCAGCAGCGACATGGGGCAGATTTCCGCCTCCTTAGTCCCCGGGCAAGAGAAAGTGGACGACGAAGCAGGAAATGGCCAGGATAAAAAGTGCATTCGGACGGTAGATATCTCGTTACATTACATTGCCTCAAACGTACATTTTCTTACAGCCGGATCTGTAAACATCACGGCACGATGCTGTCTTGTGTCTGTGATCCTCTGACAGCGCGATTCTATATGTTCTTACCCCGTCTTGGCCTGGCGACGTATTGTGTCAGCCGTAACAATTGTGTGAGCGTCGTGGAGGTTTTTGATCCAGTCTCTCGGTAGGGTGGAAACGCAGGGAGGTTTGCAAGTTGTTGTTACACGAGTTCCTCAGAGATTGAGCGCCCAAGCACTTGCTCGATGAAGGGGGGGCAGGGAGGCACGTCTGATACTGATACATGAGACAGCTGTAGGAGAGGCGATGCAGGATAGTTTGCAGAAATACAAAACAAGCGTAGGAGAGGCAAGAATTCCGCGGCAGGGGTGTGGTCGTGGGGTTTGGAAGCGACAGCGGGGTTATTTGTTTTTGGCATGTTAGGTTGCTATGTATGAAAAGCAGGCGAATAATCGCTGGGCAGCGCAACAAGCAGCCGTTGTCGTAGTCCGCCGGTAGTTTCTGTGAGCGATGTATAGGCGTTGCAATACATGCAGCAGTGCTCCACGAAACTACTTGTACGCATGTACCAAGAGTACAAGAGCTCCACGAAAACCACGTATCAAGGGGGTTAATTCGATACTTCAAGTTCAGGGAGAAAAGAGGTTTACTATGTACTGCTGTAGCGTACAACAAACGACCGTGTGATGAATTCCCACCATACGTATTAGGCTCAAGAGCCCGTCCTTTCCCGACACACCGGTATTTCACGCTGGCCGTACATGGACACTTGCCCCATCTCCATTATACATGGTACTTCGTACTACAGCAGCTTGCACTAGCACGAAGGACGACACGAAGCCCTGTTTTCGTACTTCGTAATCTTCGTTGCTCGCATTCTTCACCTACGTACTACAAAGTATACATGTTATGTACCACAATACCCTGTCCTTGCCAACTCCAATTGACTTGATTCAATCCGGGGTTACACAGAAGAGTTCTTGTGCCCGAGGCAGCCTCCGTCTCTCAAGCAATCAACACGACGTACAACTTCAAACTATATAAGAGGGAACAAGTTTACACCATGAAAAACATGAAAAAAATTGTTTGGTTTGAATCGAGCACACGAAAATACTGCACATCATCAAAAAACGGTCCCCGAGAGGCTAAAAAACGGTCCAATACGTTACATGATCCCCTCAACCTCTAGCGTTGAGCCTATTTACGGGGGGGGAAATTGCGAGAGTCGAACGAGCGTAGACTAAAACGTAAACAACCCTCCTTCAGCCTACTGAAGCTACGTAATATCGCTTCTTCGCTGAACATTTCCTAGTCTGAACTTTTGCTAGTCTGCGCACTCTTACTCCCAGCATTCTCACTTCGTCTAGAAATACGTCGTGTAGCCACATGTAGTCTTTACAGTATTACTACTGCACTCCACGAGAGGGACTTGCTGCAACACTTTCCTCACCGGGAATGGGCTGGTGACAGCAGTGCGGGTGGATACTTCGAAAAAAGCGCGGCGGTCCCTTCCAGCATCCCACGCGTTATCCTTACTCAACCGTCCAAAGTCGTAGTTCAAGTAAGTCCGTGCTACCGGGCGCACCTCGTCCAGGAATTTTCCAAGCCCAGAAACGAGCCTATACGAACACATGCCATTACATCCGTGCTATGTAGATCTACCTCCTCGCTGCTTCTACCCTAGCGCAAACACGGGAGAGTTTGGCCTGTAGTAAGAAAATGTACGTCAGACAGGTAACTTGAGACAGCTGATTTATGAAACACTCGACTACTATGTAGAAACAACATTGTATCGGCTTGGCAAATGTACACGTCAGACGGGAAAATTGAGACAGCTGAACTACTAAACACTAGACTGGACAGGGTGAGAGGGTAGGAAGGCTTTCACTTCCCCCTTCTACACGAATTGTCACCAGACTAGACAGGGTGAGAGGTTGGAAAGGCTTTCACTTCCACCTTCTCCACGAACTGTCACCAATAGCGAAGGCTACATCATCATACGGAAAGGACAACAACGCGTATTCCTACATACTGTACATGTGGTGAGCGCCAAACGTTGTTGTGGTGCTGGCCAGAAAGTGCCCCCCCCCACGGAGGGGGCGGCCACAAACACTATCGCATCGAAAAATCCCGCCGAATCAAAGCTCGAGGCTCTTTGCACCGCACCCAAATGCCTTCGCAAAAAGAAGCCAAACTGAGATGCCTCACGAAAGGCTCGACTTGTGGCCGGGAACCGAGCAAAGGCTGCTGTGATCTTGGAGAGGTAGCACCTCACGGCATCTCGAGTCCCAAAGCTGCAAGGCTACGTCGTATACCTGTCATTGGTTTCGTAGGAGCAGGAGTTGAAGGGATGCACGACGGTTTGGCCAATATAAGCGTTCTTTGTGATCGGCGCAACACGACGCGCACGCGATTTGCAAAGTTGACGTAAATGAGAGAACTTTCTCCACCAGCTCATTGGAATCTCTACCGCTGAGAGGCATCAGTCGGCACCATGCCGAAAGCAGCGTTTTCTCCCAATCGGGGCACCCCAATCGTGGGGGATGTACTGTAGTTCGCCGAAATCGAGGATCTGCCCGCAAGACATCACGAGGTTTTGGCCAGACCAACAACCACCGCCGTCATGAGAGCCCCCCACTTCGGACGTCCCAGCGTCTCGACAAATATGACCAAGAAGCGAGCGAAACGCCGCAAGTCAAAATTGCGCATTACTGGAGCCGGCAAACCACCAGCAGGGTTCAATTCTGGTCAGAACAGCACATCCCTCCCTCAGGCTTCCCGCCGTGGCACCCTCAACTCGGCTTTTTGGCGCGAAGCAGGGGGCCGGAGCGGGTCGCCGGTGTCATTCTGTTCTGCGGACATTCTGCCGGTATCCCCACATTCAGCTCTACGGACAAGTTGTTCCTGTCGAGTTTTTCTTATCCCGATCAACGTTCTTGGGGGCCGGAACCTAAAAATGGTCGAAAATCCCTTGCCGTGGTGACGACACGTAGAGTCGACCACTTACTTTCGTCTCCCCGACCCTGCCCAATATCCGACTTGGCGGGACGGGGTGGGGGGGGGAGGGGGCGTACTCATGTTTTGCATGCCGTTAAACCATTTACCGCGCGTATTCCAGAGGACGGACCATTGTTCCGACAGGACCGGCCAATCGTTCCTTCCTACCTTGCGAAAGGTGGCTTAAATATGTTTTCCCTAACCTATTGATATCACGCAAAGGGATTAAGGCTTTACTTGAGGTTTCTGTTTCGTGCAACACGGCACACGCTCCACAGAAGCACGTCGCCCACTGCACCTGCCACTGGAAGCTGAGAGTAGCGTTGAACTCTCGCACCAGGTCCGGATCGATGCGGTCGAGTACGTCGCGGGAGTGCACCGGAGACCTGACGGTGCAAAACAGAGAGGCATGGGGTGTGGCGTGCGCATGATGAACATCTCACAGAGATCCACACGACGAGCGGTGTAACCGTGTGCCGATAGATGGCACGATTTCCCGAAAAGCCTAAAGTCAATATATTTACTCACGCAACGAATATATGCTACCCGGAGCCTCATCCCCCGCCCCTGTATCGAGGACGCGTGGTCATCGGTCTAACCGCTAAGGCATGCGAAACATAAGAGTACGCCCCCCCCCCTCCCTTGTCGCTTTCGTTCGTGGTTGGTCGAACACGTTCAAAACCGTTCCAGGGGCGTATTTTTCTTCTTCTCCGTGACACCGCGCTTACCCGTTGTTGTTAACCTCTGATGCGGCCTCCCAAAGTCGGGGGTGCTCTAGCTCCGGATCCAGCGTGTGCTGGAGAACGTTTACGAAACCAGCGTACTGCTCCACTACTCCTACCACCCAGAAGTTGCTGAGGTGTTCGGCCGCGGTCGATGCCATCGCCGAGGACTGGGAAGAAAAGAAAAACAAGCAAAATAAAGCGTTTGTGCCGGAACTGTGATGGAAGTGCATTTTTCCATTAAGCAAAACATCCGGGCATACAGGTGTGTTGTGATCGATGGCGGGGCTATGTCGCAGTCGCGCCGCGCGGCTAAGAGGACATGCTGGTGCTCTTTCGTTTACGCAGCAACCACCCGCGATGTTTGATGGGGTGTTGTATGCATCACATGCCTTCTTCGCCAAGTATTGCGAAACCTCGAGATTGTAGAAGCGCGATGATCGTCAGCCGCTGAGTTTATTACTGGCACCTCGCTCCCTCCCATGTATTGCAATGCCTTTGGTACAGAGTACAAGTAGAGACACAATGTCGCGCTACAATAGCCCGCTTGGAACCACTCCCACCTGCTCTTTCGTGTACACAAGCTGAGGGTCGTAGCTGTTCGCGGCGTCCGTGCCCAAAAACCGTCGAACGAAACCGATGTCCGAAGGGTCTTCCCACCTGCAGGCATTTCGATCAACGACATTATAGGTGCCGCAAGACATGGAAGGAATTCCAAAGGCACCGACAGGAAACGAGGGAAGTTGGGGGCAATGATGACTCTCATCTCACCGGCCAAGTGTTGGAAATAGTTCCTCGAGAAGCCGAAGGAAGTTTGTAACAGAGGGGAGGAATGTTGACTATCATCCAAACGGACCGAGCGTTGCGAAGCATGTGCTCCGTACAGATGTCGAGCGGGGTCTTACCCTAGGCGACCCCGCATATTGCTCGCGACGAAGTCCGCGGCGGCTTCGAGACTGGCCGTCTCCTCCCTGTGCTTGAACTGCTTCGCGGACACGAACAGCTCCAGCGGGTCCCTCAGCATGGTGATCAGGAGGTGCGGCGGGGTGACGTACTGCCGAAGGTCTGGCAGACGACCCCATCAGCCGCAGCAACAGAAGCAGCAGCCGCAGCGCATGCGAAGCAGCACCACCAAACAACCCGAGAGAGCGCCCCGATTAATTAAAGGGCTTTTCTACAGGTCTGTACTTGCGGCTTGTCTTAACTTCCCGCTCATTGGTCTGAAACGAACGTGGGCAAGTGTAGCCCCTAGGGCACCCTCCGGACGAGATCGCCCTAGAGGGCGGCAAGCTTGGGTACGCACATCCCGGACTCACCCCACAAGAAGTGGCCCGCCAGGACCCTGGTTCCTGCGACTTCCCACCGCTGACTAGCGCTGTCCCTCAAAGCGTTCTGGTCGTTGAGACATATGACGTGGCTCTCCTGGTGATGGAGCGGTAGGGGCGGGGAAAGGTTACGACGGGGCAGCGCCGAAGGCTTCGCAAGACCTAGGGTGCGTCGTAAAGAACACATACGGTGTATTTCCTTGCGTGAGCGCTCTCTTGCCTTGCCGTGCGTGAGCGGCCATCAACATGCCACGATCGCTTTCTTGTCAGTGAGCGTGGGAGAGAGCAAGCGATTGCTCGCCCTCTACTTTCCAAGGCGAATGACGGAGAGCCTATGTACCACCTTGAGAGGAAGCAGAAAATTACCTGGGGGGGGGGGGGGGGGGGGGATCTTGGGCTCCTGTTTCCTTCCCATCCTTAAAATAACAAGCTCGCCCAAACAGCAATGAACGCGAAACCGCCAACTGGTGCCAACATGGGGTATTTTCTGTCCTCATACAGTGCAGCTGTGTACCACGACCCGGAGAACAAAAGAATTCCAGAAGTCAAGAGCCCTCCGAAAAAATGAGGATGTTTGGTGAAAGGGGCGGTGACAAGTGCACCTGTGTGAACCAAATGGTACAAAAAGGCGGTCTGCCTTACCTCCTTGTAAAAGGGATTCTGGGGTCTAAAGCCATGGGCACCATATGTCCCCAGTGCAAGAGCTAACACTCCAAAAACGGCATCGACTTTGTGCCAGGTGAAAGCGTTCATGTCTCTCCGCAGTCTTCGC